AACAATCTAAAACTTAACAGTAGCATGTTCTTTGAACAATTTCAATCAATATTCAGTAATGGTATGAAAAGTCAACGGTATGAAATGAAAGATATTATTGAATTATTTACATGGATCAGATTGCAAGATCAACTATTCGGTCAATATTTTTCTCACTGTTCCTCCAATGTGAACACAGACGATCTCTGGGATATGTTTCTAAAGCTATGTAAACTTAATATTATCAATAGTATTAATCAAAAACATGTAATATCAATATTAACTGAAAAAATTCCATTAACTTCTGTCGGAACATTTCATCGATATACGAAATCAGCCAAGACTTGTTTAGTAACAATCAAACCTGAATTTTGTTCACATTTTATCGAATTATTCCAGAAAGTCTTTGATGGTTATATTATTAAGCAGTTCAATTATCCACAATATTCGTATCAGGTCTCTCGAACAGATTGCAATGATCTTTTACAAATCGGTTTGGAAATGTCTTCAACTAATCGTTTAGAAAGACCGACGCACAAAGACTCAAAACTCTATTTGGAAACTTGAAAGATTTTGATGAGAAATTATATCAAAAATATGCAGCAGAGAAAATCATTGATGATGAATGGTTAAAAGATTTTCTTATCACTAATCCTCAGATTTGGTTAAAATTGGTTGAAGAAACTGATAGATATTTATGTGCAAATCATCAAAATAATCCTTGGACAATCTACATTTGGTCACGAATTGTACATTTAAGTCTTTTAAAAATGCTAAATAATACTCATGCAGATATTCTATCTAAAATTAATGATTGAATGAGAAAAGTAAAATGTGATATTTTCACAATTCTATTAGTTAATAAATTATGTCAACTCGTACTTACAAAATATTTCAGACAAATTATAACGTTATCAAATATTGACATAATTATGAATTTCATCATATGTATGCGTGAAAACAAATCTGGAAGAATAGATGTTCAACAAATTAATAATTTTATTAGCAATATCCTAGGAACTGTTTATGAAATTCTCTATTTAAAGAGTAAGTTCATGTCAATATTGAAATTTTCCTAATCGGTTGTTTATTCATATTTTATTTTTAACTTAAATTTTCTGATGTCTTATTAATCACAGATAACAATAGATTTGTCCTTTGTTTCACCTATATGAAATTCTTCGTATTACTTCACTATCACTATAAGAGGCAGATACGTGGTGAGAACTGATATATTTAGACGATTCTTAATTTAGGATCGAAAACCGGGCTGGCGCAAAATTCAATTTTCTACAAAATTGTTTATTTATTTTTTTTTATTTTTATCACTGAACACAACCTAATATAGTCTTCAACTTACTGTACCGTTAATGAGATCCCTTCGAGCACACTAAATGTCTTAAAATTGGTTAACAAAAACTAGTAGTCTAACAGCGTTACATTTGTTTTATTTAGATTTTACCAGCGACACAATCGATTGTTGAGATACTTGAAAGAATCTTGTTATTAAATTAATTTTTATTTCTAGGTAAATGTTCATTATATAGCGATTTGTTGACTGGTTCGATCATTCGTTGTTTCCTTCCATTAATCGATTTACAGAAGATTTTTAGCTCAGTTGATCCTGAACAATATAGATTTCCATTGATAAACGCAAATATCGATGTTGTTGTTGCTTTATCTAAACCTAAAGATATCGATATTATAAATATCGAATCTAACGTAAAATTCTTTTCTCGATTTATTCAACAAATAAATGAATGGTTTGATTGGTTTGATCGATTTATTGATATATTTCAATATATTTATTGATTGGTTAAAACATCATAATGTTAATCATTCGAATCAATTATTAATTGATTTATTAAATATTCGTTATGATTCGAAAATGACTTTTATTGAGATGAGAATGATTATTGAACGTGTTTTAAAAATTTTAGAACCATTCAAAGATCTTCGACGTCTTTGTTATCTATTTAATTGTTTAATTTCATTTCAAATTCTTAATTCAGGAACATTAAATACTCAAGATAATACAATAAAATTTCTTACAGATTTAAAACGTTTTCAACCTAACAATACATTTACAGTAG